AATTATGATTTAACATGTGTTCGTTCCAACACCGCATTGTTCTCTACTAAAGAATAACTTTCACACCATTGTATGTATTTAAAGGTCCCCTGAAGTGCCTTGAAACATGCAGCATTATTCTATGTGGTGACGTAATTTCAACTGAAACAGGAAGAGAGGGCGGGACATATCGAGCAGCCCCACCCCCTTTTTAAAATAGCCAATAGCGTTTTGTTTATATCTGCTCGGGCCAGAGCCGTTGAGCTCGGTAAAGCCACATTTGACTGCCACAGTCTAGATTACACCCTAGATTCAATATGAAACTCTTAGTAAAACAAAATAGTGGTCATAATCATGCTGAGGCTGTGTAGCTGTAAACGTTTTTAATATATGCCGACTCGTGCATATGATCCGCTCCGCGTGATCGCATCTCTGGACCGGAGCCAAAGTCCGGATCAGATTGTGTGCGCTGCCGTGGTTCGCGTGAAACAACGTGAAACCAGACCTCATTTGCACCAATCTGAATCGTTCCCTATCACCTACATTGTGCACTTCGAGCCATTCACTGTACAGGAAATACTACACTGTAATCAAGTGACCGGTCTCAGCTGCATCAGCGTCTATTTATAGTGCAGGGGGCGGGTGCTTTGGATTCTAGAGAGCATTTGATTGGTCAGAAGATTTGATGAGAAAATGAAGTACGATGTGACTTCAAAAAAAATAGTTGAGCCGTTTTGGCGGAAGTGACGAACTCCAAGCTTTGAATGCTTATATCTTATAAATGTGAATTTTGTTACTGTTTTGGAGCACACTGCCTTATAGATAACCTTAAGACTAGCATATTGATACTAACACCCAAAAAACTTTAATTTTGATTTCATGAGAACTTTAAGTACCATGTACTTTATCATGTATTTTAAGTACCTAGCACAATAGCGATAATGGCGTACTTTGGGATACCGATGGATTCAACCACCCTTGATTGTTTTCCAAATAATTCTGTGGTAATTGCTCATATTTGCACTTGTTCATGAAGTCTTTTTCCAACGGTCTAAAGAATTGCAGAGAATAACTATTTTTTTCACCTTAAGTCAACCAGGACGAAGCATCAAGAGGCATCTACGGACCTGGGAAATATCACTTCATCTGCACGTCTCTTTTGATCTCCGGCAATTAGATGGGATGTTGCGTTATTGTCGAGATGCAGCACGAATTCAGTTCAATCTGCAATCTAAGATGGTTTTCGGAGAAAAACCGAACTGCAGCCAGACAAATCAGTAACACAAAAAGAAAATCGAGGCAGGCTGTTGTGCCGTACTCTGCAAATGTACAAACTCGACTTCATGCAGAATAACAAACCGAAGGAGAACGATTTGAGACATTGCTTCTAAATTGCCTCTTTTGTTGTCTGCGTTCTCATTCCTGAGCGTAATAAAGCACAGTGCTTCTGTTAGAGCAGAGTTCATGTACCATTTTATAGTTATATGAATGTCTGTATTGTGTGGATATTTTTAGCATCTCAAGAATCACTAGATTCTTTTAGAATACATTCAAATCAGTGTCACAGTTCATCGGTTCTATACACTGAATTGAGTATATTATTCCTATAAAGTGAAGATGAAAACCCATGAATAAAGAATATGTGGGTCGGAGACATGTCCTAGCGGGTAGTGCACATGCTCTGACATGTTTCATACTAGTCTCAGCCTTAGACTCAAAACATAAAAATCTCTCAAACATATTGCTCACAAAAATGCAAGGGCTTCTAAAATAATCTGTTTCAATTTGATTGGCTTGATTACGCATCTTCAAGGACTCTTCTGTGTGTTTACAAGATGATGGGACAGTGCTTTTTCGATGTGTGCTTTTGACAATAAGTACTAAGTACTAATTATTGAATTTGCCAGTGATTCAGAGAATCAGAATCAGAATCAGAAGAGCTTTATTACCAAGTATGTTTACACACACAAGGAATTTGACTTGGGTAGACGATCCTTTTCAAATCTGCTGTAAAACACATTCAGATCGTCAGCCAGTTGTTGATTCTCCGCAAGCTGTGGGGGTGGTGTCTTGTACATGGTGATGTTCCTCAGACCAGTCCATACTGACGCTGGATCGTTTGCTGAAAGCTCTTTTCTCAGCTTTTCTGAGTAGTTTTTTTTAGCCACTCTGATCTCCTTTGTTAGTCTGTTCCTGGCCTGGTTATACAAGATTCGCCAGCCAGTTATCTTTGTTAATGGCACCAAATCATATTTTGACCACATATTTCGGTTTACAGAACGAAGAATGGCTAATAATACTGTTGGTTACATTTCATTGTCTCCAATGATCATTACATTGCAAAACTACTATTACTAACTATAGATTTATCATTGTATAATGTGTTAAAAGGACATAAAACTTTAGTGAATGGCCAGTTCCAGTACAATTATTATAATTTTTTTCCTCTGCTTTTTTTAGACTTCTTTGCAACTCCTGTGTGCTAAATTATCCAACAAAAACATTAACACAGCATGAATATAATTTGCCATTTAAATATAATTATGTGTATAGTTATATATCCGTATTATTTTCGTGAGCCATGTGTGTAGTGATGGTAGCTGTTCCAAAAACCTCCCCCACGTTCATCTGTCAGCCCCGCTGTGCTTGGGAGAGGCAGGATTGAAGTAGAGTCTCAGAGAAGGGCCAGTGAGTCAGTGTCTGTCTGTTGGGGGCCACAGACGCCACAAATAGCCTCTCCTGTTTACAGGCTTGTGCTCTCGGAGAGACACCTGCTGTCATACTGGGATGTTTTACAAACCGATTCCAATTCTTAAATGGGGCAATATATATATATATCTTCTTGGATGACCTAAGGGTCAGTAAATTAACTGCAAATTTTCATTCTTGGGTGAACTATCCTTTTAGTGTGACTTATACTTTTAGTTTTTGTCCACTGATTTGATTAGACAAGCTGTGTTTCCAGATTTCTGACATTTCGCATCAGCAGCACTGTAAGGTTTCACTGTTCGAATTAGGCTACTCCTCAACACATCTGTTGCAATCTGTTTGCAAACATAGAAATCCAACATCAGTTCAAAGCATTGAAACAAAGCTATTTTTGTTGGCGAGCGTAATAATAACCAAAATAGCTTGCAATGTTGTGTCTGAAATGTCACTTAATAGACATGACATCTTGTTTATAGAACAGTTCAGGGGTTTCAATAATTAGTAGATGTCTTTGATCTAGTTCTGTCACTAACTGACAGATTGAGAGAGATTGAGACAGAACTGACACAGATTGAGAATATTGAGTTATTTACATACAATAAGGTAAACATTGATTCGCCCACTTTTTCACTAATCGGTAGAAAAATGAGCAGCCGTTAAGCACTAGAACTAACTGAAAGCAATTAAATAATGGTTTTAAATCAGATTAAAACAATTAAATTAAATTTTTATCAGTCCGCAGGACTTTTTTTTTATTTCTGTAGCATGTGATATAATGAGTGCTGAGCAAGTTTCACTGTGGTTGTCATGAGCGGCAGATTCTGTTAGAGAGCAGCAATGCACCCTCCTGCACAACTCTCATCCGTCTATCACACAATAAAATACTTACAAATGTAGCCCCGCTGGTAGTATTGTCTTTTTTGAAACAAGGTTTCTAAAACAAAGACGAGACAGTGAAGACTGGGGAAATTAACTTCATTAGTAAATGTATTTAACCCTGAGTAACCCTTAGTAAACCTGTTTAAAAAAAAAAGAACATAAATCTCTAATAACACTTGAATAACACTTTCCAATAATCGTAATAATCGTAATCGTATTATACATAATAATGATACAAATTATACAAGTTATTATGCTCTCAGTGAGAACTGCGACTGGGAAAATGAACCTAATTAGTAAATTAAGTAATAAATTAATCTGTATTTTTTAACTGTTTATAAAATAAATAAACAATTAAAAAATATATTTATTAAAAACTAAAATTAAAAAAATTATATTAATTAAAAAACTAAAATAATTTTTTTATTTTTATTTTTTATGCTAAAATTGTTTTAAATTCAGTGAGGACTGAGACTGAGAACATTTTTCTTTTTTTTCATGAACTAATCTGAATTGTTTAATAATTAAAATAGAACACAAATACCTTTTTTTCTCCATAATACTAATAATAATTATGATGATGATGATGATTATTATTATTATGATTATTATTATTATTAATACATATAATTAATAATAATTATTATAATACTTATAATTAATAATGATTATTATTATTAATTAATTAATAATACATAATTATATAATAATCATATTACTATTATTATTATTGTTATTATTATTAATACTTATAATTATTTATTTTCTTATTAAGTTCTAATATAAGTACACTGTTGATTCTATATTAAATTGTTCACTGCTATGATTACACTTTTTAAACGGTTAATATTTAACGTTTTTTTAATGCGTGTGTGTTTTTTAAACAGTAATGTATATTTTTTTAATGTTTTAACATATTTAATTAATTAAATGATCTAAATGATCTAATTATTTTTGTTGTTGTTGTTGGATCTGAAGGAAGGAAGGAAGGAAGGAAGGAAGGAAGGAAGGAACGTGCATGCCTGCCCAACCTACCCATTCTTACTTACATATAAAGCACTTTATATTTAATTAATTAAATGATCTAAATGATCTAATTATTTTTGTTGTTGAAGGAAGGAAGGAAGGAAGGAAGGAAGGAAGGAAGGAAAGGGCTTGCATGCCATTCCAACCTAAACTTTCTTACATATAAAGCAAAAGCTTTCCTCTAGACCAAAAAGCACTTTGTAAACCCCACACCACTTAAAAAAAGAAAGAAAAAAAAACCTGACACTCATCTATTCACATGAACTATTTCACATTGTGTCTGTGGTGTTTTGGAAAAAAATGTTTTTTTTTATTTTTTATTTTGTCTTAACTTGATATCACACCTTAGCAAGTACATAGCAACACCCTGGTAACAACCTGAACATCCTCATTCTTCTGTCTTGCAGGATCTCAAGGGCTGCGTCTGTGCTGCTGTCGGATCCTTGCTTCCAACTTCGCTCCATCCAGTACCTGCTCGGAGAAGGAGACGCCGGAGCCGCCAGTGCCGACCACAAACACTTCTCTCTGCACACATGTAAGCTCTCTTACCCATCCTACTGCTGTGAGACAAGAGCATCATGCATAATCAGTGGGATGTTAAACTTAGTCACCAGTGTATTTATCGCATTGCATACTTTGATATGCAACGTTTTACGGTCTAAATATACTCCTATTTCTTAGAATAGCCTTCCATATCCAGTGACGTGAAAGTGATTGTGTTATTAAAATATATCCTGCTTCGCCATTTCACTCAGCTCTGATTTCAAACATTAAGATCAAATCCATGCAGATGCCTTATAATTATAATCTGCTATAACTGGACTCGACATACAGTAAGTGATTTATTTCCTCTCAGCAGGTGAAATTTAAATGAACAATTTCAACAATGTATTTTTGGATTTGGTTATGGAACAATTTTAGCAATTGTCTAAAAAAAAAATTCACAGCTGTATTTTATTTTATACCCCAACCCCCCCCACCCCCCCAATTTCCCAAGAACACAAAAAAAAACAATACATTTTTTAAAGTCACTTATATTTAGACAGCATTTATGATCAAATTTATTGATTTATCATATTGATTTATTTATCTATCTAGCTTTTTATTATTATTATTATTTATTAGCACTAATTACCCTAATTATAATTATGGCTTGCAGTCATTTCAGAATTAATGATGCTGTTAATCACACTTCGGCATTTGGTGAGAAAAAGCCTTAAATGAAGATCATTTAAATGTCCTAAAAGAAGATAATTGAAGATTTTAAAAACAGGTCAGAGATGTAGGTGTTTCATTTTTAAAGAAGTTATTCTTTAAATTAAAATGAATATAACTTTATCATTTCATAAAAAAACTACAGTATGTATAATGAAGTATGTGTAAAAAAATACTAATATACATATTTATGATTAATTTTCAGTATTTATTTTATATTATTTTAAAAAAATTATAAGTATTTTGTGCATATTTTATATTAGTTGATATACATAATTATTGTTTTAGCAGATTATTTTTGTATAATTAATGTACTAAATTAACGGCAAAATGACAGCTGTATTTATAATCTAGTTTTTTGAATAATTTGCATTGAAATCAGGTCTGCTTTAACTATACAGACCCTTCACCCGAATCCACCGGCTCCGCTTTACTGTAAAAGGCCTTGATTAATTATTTACTCTAAGTGGATGCATTTCCATCTCCACTGTGCCCACACTTCTAAACTGCTCTGCTTGAGGGGAGAGTCAGGCATAACAACCAGCTCTTTAGCTATTCAAGAACAACACTGAGAGTTTGTTTACAGCATTTGAAAGGAGAGCCTTTCTGATACTCCATAACAGCCTCCAAAAACCTTTACTAGAGGTTCGAGTCTCTTAGAGTATATGAAGAGTTTAGTTCCAAAACGCGATAAAACGCCTTTTTTTTTTTAAATGAGTTTCCTCCAAAATCAGTATTGTATCTGGTCGGTATTGAAAAGTCCATTTTTAATTTTATGCAAAAAGTGATATCCGCCGAGTTATTCTGTCATGTTTTCTCCCTTTCTTTCCAAGCCGCGACAAACGCCAGTCTTTCTTCTCTGCAGAATGCGATATATCCGCTCAACCAATCACAGCGCTCCATTCCACACACTCTAGACAGTAATGGCGGCGCTTTGAATACACCCGACATCCTAGTTTTCCTCATCTATTTTGTACTTTGTGATCAACAAACAAACTTAGGGCTGCACGATAAATCGCATGTGATTATCATGCGCATCTCGTCAGTAAAGCCGGTTCTGTGATTAATAGTAAATCTCCATCACGTGCTTTCAGATGGATACACAGAGCCGTAGATCACTGACAATGCAATATCACATTCATAATCGCAGATGAGTAGCATTCGATTATGAACGCGATATTGCATAGCTTGTCAGTGTAAGTGTTTTTATTAATGCCATTAATGTTTTTGTTAATACAGCATATAGCACTAATCAACTAAATGAATGTAACATGGCAAAGATGAATGCTCTTTTGGAAGTTGAAGGCAAGGGAAATGTCATTTTGGAATTTCTGTGGTTTAATTTGATAGTTGTTCATGTATGTTCATGATTAAATTTTCTTTTATTGTTGTAATTAGATGACCCGTTTAATTCATTTTGGGAGCGATGACTGATT